AATCTTTAAAAAACAGAAAAAGGAAGGAACCCCAAGTGGTGGTGAGGTGTAGAACTAAAGGAGGGAATGGGGGAAACGGGGGAATGGGGGGGGGGGGAATTGCGGCCCTGAAACTTCCTCAACCCATTTGATTTCCCCACCTCCCCTTGTCACCATTGTCCCTCCGCACACACACACACATGCAGCTTTCCGGTACTGGATAAACATCGTTCTCTTGTTCCTCATGGCATCACCAACGCGCATAAAACCCGGCCGCATCCCCGCCAGCCACACACACACACACACATCCCATTCCCACCACGTCCTTTCCCCCCCTTCCCCCTTCGCCCCCCTTCCCCCCCTTTCGGGCAGTTTTACGTTTGCTACTCTCTTGCCCTGGCAGCAGCTTCAATCGTGTGTGGTTCGTCTTTCCCCCCTCCCCCCCCATCGCAGGTGGTTGACCTCCCGGAGGCCCTTCGCGCCGCCCACCACCACTGGCTCAGCCACTGTTGCGGGCTGTCCTGGCCGGACAGCCGCAACCACATCTGCTTTGGAGACTTCTAACCAACACCACCAGCAAAGAAAAGCTGTATACAATTTAGTTTGTGGCAATATTGCAGTAAACGTAGAAGAAGCAGAAATTATTACTTCTTTCCTTTTATTTATGGATGGATGGATGAATGGATGGACGGGTGGTAAACGAAGGAAGGAGGGGGATGGATGAAGTAAAGTGCGTTTCCCGGGATGTGGTGTTTTTTGAAGTGCACGCATGCATATCGCGAAAAGCCATGGGCCGTGACACAGTTTGTACGGCAACCCAAAGCCCCATAACGCATGTTCAGCGAAGCGTCCTTAGGAAGGACGGCCCGTGGTATTTGCCGTTTCGGTGTGGGATGAGTCTAGGTCGGAGCGTGGAACCTGTACGTATGTATCTATGTATGTGCGTACGTATGTATGTGCGCGGCGAAAAGTCGGCATGGCGAAAAGCCGGCGTGGGGAAAAGTCTGTTTGAGGGGACCCCCGGGGTAGGGTTGACCGGTGAACGGAGGGCGGGTGGTGGAGGGGACGTCTACCGGACATATGGCAGCACGTGTTGCCCCCCCTGAGAGTCCGTGTCGAACCCATTCCGATGGCAGCTGGAGGTTTCCGCTCGAGCTCTTTCCATTTCTCTTGAAAGGCCTCGGGAACTAATTTGAGCTGAATCGAGATACAAAACCAACCCAACCTCGCACAGCAGCAACATAACCTTTATAATGATTATAAGACAAAGCTCTTTTAAAGCTCTTTCCTCCCAAACGAGAGCCCTTAGCACGAACATAAACCTCCCAAACACACAAGCACATATAATACCCCCCTTCTCTCATCACACATACACACACGCACACACGCACACGCACACACACACACACACATACAGACTGAGTCGTAATTTCAACTATTTTTCTTCCGGGGTGCCACCAGCAGCTGCATTCCACCCTCCGGCCGCAAGAACAGCCCCAGTCCCCAGGGCGCCACTTCCCCGCCCTCCCCGCCGTGAGATCCCGACACGGACTCGCCCGCCGACCCGACCGCATCCCCCGCTGATCCCCCCCCGGCGGACCCCGGACCTGACGGCTCAAACACCAGAAAACACAGCAGCATCGCCAGAGCCGCCTTGATCTGCGCCACAGCCAGTTTCTGGCCCAGACAACTTCGGGAACCAAAACTAAACGGCATAAAGGCCTCCGGACTACACAAAGGCGCCAGTGGTGGCGGAGACTCCGCCGGAGACTCCGCCTGAAGCGGCGGCGGCGGCGGCGGCGGCGGCGGCTTCGCTGCCGCCGATTCCTCTCCTGGATCCTGGATCTCGTTGTCTACGTCCGGTTCTACCGTACACAGCCCGTCGTACAGCTGCCGCGACGTGGACACCCCTGTATCAGCCGCCGCCGCCGCCGCCGCCGTGGTGTCGGTTACGGATGTGGGCGCGGATGCCACCGCCGTCCAGCGCTCCGGCTTGAAGTGATGCGGATCTCTCCACCACTTTGGCGATCGGTGCATGGAAAAGACGTCCACCCACACATCGCTGGCGGCTGTTAGAGTCCGGCCGTGTAACGCCACGTCCTGTGGCAGAGGACGGCAGAGGGCGCAGGGAGAAGGTTAGGGAAGGGAAAGGGAATGAGATACGAGTTAACCGCAATCTTTCAAGAAGCTGGGGCGGGGATTACACACAGGCAGACAGACTGACTGACAGAAAGGTTCACAGACAGATTGACTGACAGACAAACAGACAGACAGATAAACTCACCCGGTTGAGACCTTATAAGTTCTGTAAGTGAGCTCATGCGGCCGTGTAAGAAGGCGTTTGTATTACATTGCTTGTTACTTACCTTTTTGAGAGTCCGTACAGTTGCAGGACAGGGCATGGTGGGATACAGCCGCAGCACCTCCCGTACGACGCAGTCCAGATACGGCAGTTTGGACAGCATGTCGTACGTGAGCCGCAACGGGTCGTTGAAAATGCCTTGCCGCGTGGAGACGATCAAGATGGACGGAGAGAATATGGGTTAGTTTGGGAGGTGAGGATGGGGGGTGCATGTACGTATGTACGTATGTATGTATGTTCCGACTAAGACCTGCCTCGTTCCTTGTCGATTTTGTACGTTGGATCACTTATAGCAGCGTACATCTTCTTTTTTGCCCTAGAGTTGAGGAGTTCACTGTACTGGTGGTTGCGGTAGTTAACGCATATGGTAATGGCAGTTGTAAGTTGCTGTGTTGACGGTGATTGCGGTGGTTGCATTGGTGGTTTGCAGCTGCAGTTCTTATGCTTAATAGATGGATAAAGGGCTCTATGTACGGGTACGAGCCACCTGAAAACGATAATGTAAGCTTATCGTAGCTAACCTGCCTGCCGCTCATGATTCCTAAAACCCCTAAAACCTCTAAACCCCTGACAGGTTTTTCAGGACGTGTAAAAACCCTCACCTCCCAGAAACCACCCCCCCCCGCACACACTGGGACATTGAAACACCACTCCTCGGCTTTTGACTATTAAACCCACACACACACACCCCTCCGCTCCCCTAACTTCGCCCCTTTTGCCCCCACCCTTCATCCCGACAAACCTCAACCACGCCATAACACCGCACCAAAAAAAACTTAAAAAAACTGGCCCGGGCGGTTAAAACTCCAGTTTTAGAACCCTAAAACCTCCAAAATCCTTAACCGCAAATTCACCCTAAACTTCTCACCCTCCTTCTTAAGCTCCGCCACCAGTTTTTCCTGCACCCCCCGTCGGGCTGCCAGACAGCCAAGGGCCCAGGCGATAGAGTGACCCGTGGGTCCGTGAGCCAACAGCAACTGGGCGGCCAGCTCAGATACGGTTCGGTCCGCGGAGAGGACGGGGGCACCTCGGGCGGGGGGGGAGCTGACCGATGACGGAAAAGAGAGGAAAGGGGTTTTAGGGTTTTAGGGTTTTAGGGTGCGGGACGGGCCAAGCGAGATGATGATGGCAATGATAAATTGATGATGATGGTGTCACCCTAACACCAGAGGCTTTGTCTCTATATTGTTTATGTGGACTATAACATAGTCCTTACCATAGCACACACATACATACAGAATACATACGTACATAGCACACACCTACCATAGCACACACATACATACAGAATACATACGTACATACGGCGGCTCCTGCTCTTTTCCCTCCCGCCCCCCTTACCTCAATCTCGCCAGCTGGGCGGCCAGCGTGACATCCTCCGGCGGGGGCGGACCCCGTGCCTCGATATCGGCCCACAGCTCCTGAGGAGAGGTCGGAAGTACGCGGCGGCTGGGTAGTTGGGTAGTTGGAAGTTGATAACGAAAAGTTGGTTGCATGCCGGTGGACGCTCAGGAGACGTTTGAATGTCATGTCAATGTATCCGGGTCGCGGTTTGATTGATACCCCCTTACTCCCTTTACCCCCGCGGGCGTGTGTGTGGGGTCTGTGTGGGGGTTTGGGGGGGTGGGGTTTGGTCAGCGGTGTAAACCCTCGAACAGTAGTTAGGTGATGATTTGTCTCGGATGAAAAAGACCTCAGCAGCTTCTTCTTTGTCGGCTAGCTGACATTTTGATCGGTCTTTGCCCCAAATCTATGCATCGCCACTTTCTCACTTCACCACCCCTCACTCAACAATTTGCAGTACACCCAAAAACAAACGCGGGCTTACCAGCCTTAGTTTATTCAGTTAGAACATAACCATGTTTGCAACGGAAGAATCGCAGTTCGCGTCGAGTCGCCAACACAGCATTAGCAAATAATTATTTAGTTAGTTAATTAGTTAGTTAGTTACCTGTTCGATAAAGTGGTGCAGGATGCGACATCGCGTCTGCCCCTCGGCCGCGCCATCGCTGATCCAAGGTGCCCAGCGACCAAGCAGCCGCCGCCGCCGTACAGCCCACTCCGCCGCAACCTCCCCCAACAGCCTCAGCATCAGCACCTCGCCTTGAGACTCAACCGCCTTCAGTTGGCAGTTGTTGCGGTTAAAAGATTTGGTTACATGGTTACATGGTTGCTACATGGGTTGTAGCTGCAGCTGGACTTGCAAGGCAGAGAAATTTTGTTTGAACATTTTTTGCACGCTTATGTGCTCCAAACAACGTCAATGGATTATGTGTGACCCTTTATTACAACATATTAATTTGCATTTAGGAGGATAAAAGAAAAAATTCTACTCTCCTTCATCCTGAAGGGAAATAGAACATTCCTTATGGCCAGGGACCTGCTCTGACTCAATGCAACCCAGCTCGGCCAAAATTATAAATACCCGTTATATAAAAAAATCTTACAAACCTTTACAACCAACTCCGAAATCATCTTTCTCATATAAGTAGCCCCGGGACCCCCCTCAGGCATATATTCAACATCACGCCATGCTCTCCGCCGTACCTGTGTACTACATCTGTGTACTACAAGAAAAGCTTTTCATTTTGACGTACGACAGCCATGCCTACCTGAAAGTCGTACCCCAGCTTGCTGAGCCCCATGACGTCCAAGCTCAACCTCAGCGCCGCGTCGTTCACGTCCACCACTGCCCCCGGGCCCAGCCCCACCACAAAATTGGCTAGGGACAGGGCCTTCGCTTTGGCGATCTACAAAAGGGGGTTGATACCTCCCGGGGTTGGGGTCGGGGTTGGGGTTGGGGTGGAGGTTGGAGTGGGGGAAACNGGGTGATGATTCACAC